TCCATCTCCGTCGCAAGCTCAAACGAAATGCACATTTGGTAACACGCCAAGCTTGATTTTATAGTCCCGTGCGACTATGGAACGTGAATATGCAAAAACTTAAAAGTTTTTATTTCTATTCAAAGGGACAATATCCCATTTAGTGAAATTCCAGTAAGTAATTTTGCGCTTGCAGTTCATTAAAACAGGGCTCGAAATAACAGCAGGTCAAAAGACAATGTCCTTCCAAATTTGCTAAATGACCGGTCAAATCAGGTTTTGAAAGGAAAAATTGACTGGCCATATCAGTTTAGACAGAAAAWTTTTTAGATTCACTAAACATTAAGTATTCAAAGTTTTTGTCCTTCCAAAAATTGGTTATGACCTTCTAAAAATGTATTATGAAGGTCATGCTGTCCTGCGTATGTCTTGTCATTATTTCGAGCCCTGCTAAAACTTTCATACTAAGTGCAGAACTATACCTACATGCTCATTTGTTAATGACTAAAATGCCAATCAACAAAATAAAGGTTGTAGGCGTATTTTAAAACAAAGCTTGTTGTCTTTTGTTCAGTTATTATAGAACATTTTTCATATCACATTTCGAGCTTGTTAATAAATTTTTTCTTTTGCAAAACACTGAAAAGTTAATGACTTTTTTTTCTTCGAAAACAATGAAAGTGTGCATTAAAATGGTAATGGCTCGCTCTTCGCTTTATTGAAAATAATGACYTCGCGCTGCGCGCTCGGTCATTATTTTCAATAAAGCGAAGAGCGAGTCCATTATCCTATACATAGTCATCGAACCAAAATATCAGCATGAGGGAGTTTCGTGTGCGCATGCGTCAGTTGCTGGTTCATTGAAGTCAGGTTCGAGGTGGTTTCGGTTTTTCCTTTTAAATTTTGCCCCAATATTTTGTACAAATACACGCCTTTGCTACAAAATGGATTCTTCGTCGCTTATTACCTCTTCTGGACATGACTCGAGAATATATGGTTGATATTGGGTGCTTGAAGAGCTATTTGTTCCGACGTTCTGAGAATGTGAATGAGCAATATGGCGGTTTGTATCCACTATAACGGCCTTGATATTTCAAAGAAGGAATCAAGTAAGCCTGTAATTTCTATAATGAATAGTCTATGTGCTCTGCAGTGTTAAGTTATTGTGTTATTAATGTCATCAAAGCCTTATTTTGACAGGAATATTTTGTCGGAATATTGGCGATTTTAGCGAAATTAGTTGTTAACCGATTATAATTGCTCAATTATATCGAAATCTGCACTCGAACGTCACACTTTTCTCAGTTGCAAAAGGAAAAAAAATACYCTTGTTTATTAGGAATATTGTGCTCTATATGTTTTAAAAAATGGKGAACTTTGATTTTTGGATCAATTTATACACGATATACCGTCGACTTTGTCATAGCGCTTTATTTGTTTGGTACTAAATATTCCCTTACAATACTAAATAATGGACGAGGACCTATGCTCTCAACAGTCAATGCCTCAAGTATTATTTAACTCTCGCAAATTTTGAGATCGTGTAAATCTTTCTCCTAAATTTATCCAACTGAAAATATGTCTATTCATATTAACAATCGCAATAGTTTGAATGCATTTTTTGCGAAATCTAATCTCGACCTCCACACAAAATCCAACTTATTTGAAACGTACATTTGATATACTTMAATATGCATTGCTAAAATTCTTTAAAAAAAAATGAGGAACATGTAGAAAATTAGCTTGATTTGTGTTGTGTATGCTGTGCTCACTTAAGATTTGCATAATCATTGAAGATTGAATTCATTCTTTAGAATGCTGCTAATCTATAATACCGATGAGMATAAAAGTGTCTTTGATGCAGATCGTAACGTGGAGGCTTCAAGCAATATTAATTGCACACCTTTAGTCTTCAAAAGCTGAGGTTTCTTCTGTACACTACATATCGCAACTATCACCGATTCCGGAGTTCTTTACGATTGATAACACTCTAACGTTTTAATACCAAATTGTTTGAAATTTGTTCAATGTTCTAATTAAAGCCTAATAACGAATCTAATAATCAGTTGGTTATGCATTTACTTATAATGTTGCTGTTTGTGTGTTTGTGTAGTTTATAAATCTCAATAAAAATGAAACCAAAGAATGTCTTATATATGATTATTATGCCTATTTTATATTGTAGGCATATTCATTATTTAAATGTACTTAAAATAAATTTGAGCTAACTATTTTTGGACTGATCTGTATCGCAAAATAATCATAACTGCGACTGCAATTTACAGACGTGTATCAGCGGTTTTAGCGCATCCTCATGCAAATTTCCCTCATGCTCAAAATATCTAAAGTTGACTATTCTTTAGTACGTCTGGACACAGGCAACCCAAGCTCATTACATAATGTTTATATGTGACTTAAACGGTCAAAATTTGATTTCTATATATTTTTGTTTTTAAGAATAAAAATGACTCGCCTTTATATAACCTGTTGTGTCTTATCATTTGGCGGAATTTGAAGCCGTTTTCAAGCGATTTCATATTTTATAATGGGTTGACTGTGATTTAGACAATCATAATTTATTGTCCAAGTTCTATGTCGCTCGAGTCGCTCCAGAAACAGCCAAAATGATACCAATAACTAGATACTAATAACAAATATTCGTTATTTATTTAATAATAATCGTTATAACTATACCAGAAAAGGCAGCACACAAAGAGAAATACACAGGAGGTCAAATGAACAAAGTTTATTCAGTTTTTAAGGGAAAAGAAATTTAAAATGGTTGCATTTAATTTGCTCATAAACTTTATATTACAGTTTTCTTTAGTTTTTGTTTACGGTCTTCTTTAGTTCTCCATATTTCCCTTTTTTCAAATCTGGAATTCTTTATCACAGCAATTCATAACAAACTTCCAAACCAACTTGAAGTATGTAAAAACCATGTAGTAGTCAACATATCCTCCAAGTTTGTCTTTGTCTAATTCAGAGGCGTATTTCAACTTTTTGTCTGGGAAAGCTTTTGGTGTAATTGTCAACTGAAAAAGTCGCTCAGTTACACTGTTGAAGTGATCTCATTTATTTCTTTGTCTCCTACTTCTTTCACGCTATAAATGTTATGCGAATTTACTAATTGAGCGATAATCAAGGGTTGTTGATCTCTCAGGTATTGCTCTTTTTGTCATATAACTGTTCTAGTTATGACATAGCTAACTATTYATTAGTAAAAAGTTTGATTTTATTTCATTGTTTTACTAACGGACTTACAGTTTATTTTTATTTATTTATTTTTTTTTTCATTTTAGACATGTGGAAATATTGTATCGCTGTAATGGTCCTATCTTGCTTTGGTAAGTGTTGCTTAACTGTGAGTGTATAATATAAGCGGAGCTCCCACTTCAAGCGAGCGGAACACCATAGCTAATATAAGAAAAAAAATGGTAAACCATCAAGTACATTTTTCATGGACCGACACAGGGTTACCCCGCGTACGCACGTTTCCTTCCGTCCGTCGTGTATCACCACAGACTGCCCAACTATTGCTTGAGAGTATATAAGAACGAGCTGTTCGCTTTAATAAAATGCAGATTACCTGTGGTTTTACGTCATGATCCGGTGCCTCATAGGATACAATCTATGATAAGGTATGAAACTCCGGTCACGCGATGRATTGATGTGTACTCAACGTGGGGTGTCTACCCCTCTCCATTTTTGTATTCGTAAAGTCCTCGAGACTATTCGTAAACAGTCGCAACGCTCGATATTTTCCCTAAAGTCTCCTGCTAACTGGTCGGCTCTTGCGTCGGTGCTGCCCTGAAATAATCTGAAACTTTCGTTAGTTGCCTTTAAGTTTTTGACGGAAAGCTCTATGCAAATATTTTAAAACATTGAGGCTTCGTGTACAACACAGGAGAGTGCAGTGGAGGCCGATTAATTTTATGTTTATAATGCTCTAACATCTTTAAGACACGTTGAAGTTCATGTTGTTCATCTTGGAGCAAATAGAACGTGGGTCTTTGCACCCGTAGATTCGGGATTTAAAGTTCAAAAATATACTTTGTATACATGACCTGAGTAATACCAGGTGTTGTCCAAGTTCACATTTTGTAAATTGTAATAGCTATAATTATAATGCTAATCGAGTTACAATGATTTTAACATTAATTAATTACTACTAATTTTGATGTAAACATTAACAATAATATACTTTTAGTTTTTCTTTCTTTCTTTTTAAATGAAACCGTGGAATATCTAGTGAATTATACTTCTTTGAGTTTTTCTTATTTTCCTGAAATTTTAAAGGTATGTAAGTAATCCTTTTTAAATCGGAGATTGCGTTAGTAATCGAAGAGTTATTGTAGGGGAACGATATGTCACTCACTAAGTCACTCGCTTCTAGTAAACTGCGTTGTTGCCTTAGTTACTGCTATCTTGTTTATTAATGTTTAACTATTCATAACACTCGTAATGATATGCAAAGATGAAATGTGGTATTTATAACCCCCAAGGGACTCCTAATTGCATGTTTTGGGAATTCTCGGTTTGCACTGATCACGTGATATTCTAAAAATGCTATTTAGAGGCACAATTAGCGGAATATTATTATTGTCCTCAAGAGAACATCTAAATTAAAGGATCACTACGAAATTTCGAGCGAAAATAATGCTTTTTAACAGAAATACGAGCGATCGAAAATTGGTAAGAATGTATGGGATTATCACGGCTCAATGCGTTTTAGACTGGTCAAGAAATACCTACAAAAATCTTTGTTTTAAGATCGAAATGAATTTTTTATATCCAAGGCCAAGAACAGCATATAATTCCCAGCATTTATGCAAAGTTTGAAGTCAAACTTGAATTTTGTAGCAAAAATATAAGCGTTTGAATACGGTCTTACTTTACAAGGGAATGTATGGAAAGCCATGACAGTGTACTAATCAAGTACACGAACATGGCAGACAGTAACTCCGAGCGTCGAATTGAGGTCAAAACTAATGATTTTGCTTTAGTTTTACAACAATAACATTTTAAACATTTAATTTAATGCTGAGACTATACTTGTTTTAAACTTAATAGGCTTTCTGAGGTTTATTTGTCGCGTTTCAAGTCGCGTGACAGTATTGCGTGACATATTTTTGAACGTTAATAACTCAACG